TTGCTTTTGAACTAACAAAATGTGGACAGTCTTTTGTATCGCATTTTCTACTAATTTCATTGCAAACTTCCTCATGTTGTGACGACCAAGTTACTTCTGTTGGTCGTGAAAGATTCTTCGAAAACAATTATTGACATTAAAGATTTTATAGTGTTGTCATTCGAAATCTTATCAAGATCCCGTCAGTTAAGATTAGCAATCTGCCACCGCCACTACCTTAGACTCCTCTACCGTGGTTAGAAAGTTCAGAATAGAGAGAACAAGGATCTATCATCGGAATATCTTTAAGCCACTTTCTTTCAGAAAAAACTTGTCTCATCGGGACGCCCAAATATGCAAGGTTCAGTAAAACGGCAATAGTTCGAAAAGTAAAAGATATTTTCACAAGCGAACTTTACCGGTGGATTCAACACACGTTTCTGTACAAAACGGCATTAATTGGTGATATTTGCTGGGATGTCTCATATTATTAATATTTCATTAGGAACTCCAAAATCAGAAACATAGAAAATAGATGTATATATTGAGACATCTGTATCTCCAAAAATACAAGAGAACCATTCGCCATTCTTTCGCCTTTAGTAACTTACGACTGAGAGTAGTACAGTCATAGTTTCGTGCTGTTTTCAAATAGGCTGTTTATTTCGACCAAATGCTGTTTAATATGTTAAAAAGTAAAATATTGTCCAAAGATGATGGATTTTGCCTGTAATTTCCACTTTAAAAAAGTGTATTTTTTTCGTTTTAACCATCCCCAATCTACAAAGGTTAAAAAAAGTTGTCTATGTGATATGATTTTAGATTAGGACAACATTTTGTTAGATAACAGCGTTAAAAATGCGTCATTTAATATAGGGATTTTTGTTTATATAGGTCCCTAGCATAATTTTTTGACCACATAAAAGACATTCAAAGCATTTCGTTTTGTACGATCCCGAGAGAGCAACCATCCACTACTTATCGTATGCATCGATCATCATCATCAGATCTTGCTCTGGGCTGCCAAGGCCGCGGGCGCAGATAAGTCCAACATCGGTTTTACCAAGGAGAATTAGGTGTTTCCTCTTAACAACGCGATGCTGGAGTATCTTCTCTAGGCGCTGTTTTACTCGGGCGGTCGCCAGCGACCCAAAACCTCCTTTAGTTAAGTTCGCATCGGAGGATCCTGCGAACATAATGTGATTACGTTGATAGATTATTGAGTTTTTCGCTTGTGCATTAAATGGCTAAGTGCACTGTGTGGACTGTTTATTTCCACCGTTTTCTATGTCGTTTTTGTTATTTCATACTCGACTTGTGTACTAGAGAAGTCTATCTCTATTCCAACGATTTCGTAGCAGAAAACCTTCCAGTGGAAATAGTGTGGATAAGCAACAAAGGAGCATTTCTTGGTCAGCTAATGATACTTTTCTCGTCCAAACGGTAGAGGCAGTAAGGAAAGATACTCTGTCTGCCTTCTACTACAGTCCGACTTCGTTTTTTCTGTATATTCCGTGAGATTCGGAGGTTTTCGTATCTTCGCTTCCACCGAGTCGATTCTGATAAAATTATACCAATCGATAGCATTTTCTACGCTGATCACGAATTTCACATTCACGTGTGACTAGAACGTCACAGTAGTGCACTTGAGGAGCTGCACGCATTTTGGCACGCATCTATACGAAGGCAGTAGTAAAACATGAAGACACCCGCAGACATCCACAGACAGCTGCACAGACAGCACACATACAACCACAGACAGCCACAGACAGCTACGCGGACATCCAGACACAGACATCCATACACAGACATCCATGGATGTCTGTGTGCTGTCTGTGGATGTCTGTGGGTGTCTTCATGTTTTACTACTACTCATCTATACGAAACATATATCTAATAGTTTCAAATTGATGAAAAACTTCTTTTCTGTCGATGATATGACCATAATTATAAAATTTCATCCGATCGAGTTAAAAATTTTGCCCGAGGTACTCTAAACACTATTGCAGAGGTATTTTTTTGGAATTTTATTTTAGACCGTTCTTTACCAAATTATAGGGTTTCTAAAATTGAAAAACTTGGTTTTTTAGACGTTTTTCACCTATAACTCGACGAGGAAAGGTCCTAATAACACTTCTCAAAAAATACCTCTGAGATATGGTAAAATTTTACGAAATCAGCTGCTGTTATGTCTAGTGCCAATTCAAGTATTCTAAGTGCAAATTTAATGTTCGCAAGAAACGTATGGAAATTAGCGTTTCGTAATCATGTATGTATTTGAATAAGAATAATCAAACTTAATTTTAGACTGTTCGTTCATTTAGGCTGATGAATGCGAGGTTTTATGAGTAATGCGTGCGAGAATAGTTTTTGTTGGTGCAGCTGCTGCGGGAATTAGTATTCTCGTTCCATCTATCTATTCATTGCGGATCTTATGTTCAGATCTAGTTTACGTCATTATATTTTCCTAGCTACTCTGCGTCGTTTATGCTAATTTTACCTATACTTATGACTCATTTGTCCGCTTACATTGTTGAATTTCTATTTCGTATATTGATCGGTGAGTCCGAAACTGGTATACCATAAGTTCTTGTATTACCATGGTTTACACCATCTAAAACATTTTGTATGCTCTTGAGTTTATTTACAATATTATTTGTATCATACGTAACAAAGACCTTATTTGAAAGCCATATTATACCAGCAAAATATGATATCCTCCATTGTCTTGTCAATATTCCAATTGAAATAATGTTTTAACCGGTTTTAACGGTTTAACCGGTGATAGCACAACATTTCATATGTCAGGGTTCTAACATGTTCATGCAACCTTTTAATTTGAAAGAAATGTGCATCATCCACTATAAAAAATAATTATGGTAAAAAGTAGAATAATGCAGAATAATGCACGATCCACAATATCCCACATCGGGATTTTTTTCCTGACATATTCCGGCACATTGTGAGTAAAAAATCCTAGAGAAATTCTCACCATGTCCCACTATACCCCAGAATCTCACAAAATATTCGAAAACGTTGGGACAATTTTGAGGCACGGTAAGAATCAGTATAGTAGGGGTACATCGAACAAAAAACAGTAGCCAGAGGCAAATGTTTTTCGGAAAGTTTTAATTTCTTCCGTCTCTCTCTCATTTTATTTTCATGTTAAGTTGATCTCTAAAATATATTGAGTGTGTTGTATACCATTATTTTAATATTTGTTGTTGTTGTTGTATACTACTTTATTCAGTGATAAGTCATAATCATATCAGTACATATCAAATATTTTGCAAATATTCAAGACATATCAGTTCTTTTTGAACTTGTACTTTTTTTTGATATTTTTTTGTCCCTTTTTTTCTTAGTAAATAAAAAAATCCTACTCAAGACAATCTGTATGCTTGCGGTATATGACTGTAGTTTTTAAAATATTACCATTCGAAGTACAAATTATAGCCACAGATAAGTTTCTTATATTCAAAATTTATTAACCTTAGTCATTTTTTAGGTTTCAGTGTTGAGTAGCCAAAATATGTCACTCATACGAAAAGAAGAACGCGACTAAGTTATTCAGTTGATTAACTTTTACGAAAATATAATAAGATAAACTTTATTTTCACAATTCTTGTATATTCAAAATACATAACATCAACACTGATATTAACAGGTTCGTTTTAAAACAAAAATAAATATTATTAAGCAAAAAGGCAGTTTTTGCAAAATTTCAAACAATATACAGAGTATATACACTTCTACACGAATATTTTTTTTTGTAATTTCAAAAATATTTCGTTTAATAACTGGTTTTCTTGCCAATTAATTTCTTCTTGATCAAACGAATAATTCATAACGGATGAATGAGCGAAATCAATCAATGTAACGATCAACTTCTTATCATTTGTTTCATTTACTAATATATTTTGTGGTCTTAAATCATTGTGATTTATACCATTTTGATGAACTAGAACATACAGACGCACATACACACACGATTAGGTGGAGAAAAAAAAGAGGAGCTAGACATTTTGGGTCAAAAGATGACATTTCGAGCGTACGTAATGGAGTGCGGGCGGACGAGAAGCGGACTGGATAAAAAATAAAGCCAGATATTTTCATCCTACAGTCAGTGTTTCCTATTCAAGATACAAAGAGAATTTTACAAAAAATAAGATATTGAAAGCGCACTAAAGGAAGAAAAATAACTGGTCGTATGGAATCTAGATCTAGCCTTTACTACTGTCTTTCGTTATTAAATCTCATATAATCTGTTCTATTTACAGCAGTTTTAAATATACCTGTTTTCAATAATGTTTTTGTTTGCCTATACAATTGTTGCATAATCATCAATAATTCATCTTTAGTGTAATCTAAAAATAAGCAAACGTTTATATACGTTAGTACACAAGCAAGTCTCGAAGAAAATAAAAGCTTCGCAGTAGTGAACTTGAGATGAATAGTCAGTCAAGATGTCTTCTCAGAAGATAATATATACTTGTTATTTCCACCTTTAAATAGATGATATAGTATAAATAATAAATATCTTTTAATTCATGCTTTGCTCCAAAAGAAAAACTTAATGTTTTAGACGTCTCAACTTTCCTGTTGGATAATCTTACTTATTACTGATAATGTTTTGTTAAATATAAAGTCATTGATTGTTTGCCCCCCATATGGCAATACCAAATATAATAATTGTGAATAAACTCCAATAAAAATTGGTTTCAATACCATATTTAACTCAATTAAATTTGATTTTATTGTAATGAAATAATTATAAATTGTCAATTCATTCAATAATTGATAATATTCATTTTTCATTTTTTTGTCAGCAATTTTAATTACAAGTTGTTGTTTTTTATTTGATGATGATGATTTAATTAAATCTAATAAACGCTCATTTTTACATGTACTTAAATCTAATATAACAATGTCGCCTGTTTGTGAATGATATTGCTCGATTGAGTATAGATCAATTGTATGAAATAAATCAAACCATTTTGGTGCTGAAAAATAAAATTTGTGCACATCAAGTCAACTTAAAAACAATAATAAATCATTTTTTCACTAAATCGCAAATCGTTTCCTACTCCTCCTTCCCTCACCAAATTTATCTTTTCAAAGTTCGCTTTGTTTTATTTTTGGTGCTTAATAGTCTTACCTGTTTCTAAACGATTTATTTTTTCATTTAACGATGCACATGAAAATAATGGCACGAACGAATTGGTAACATCATTGATATAACCACCATCAACATGTTGATTGTCAGAATCTAAAAAAGGCTAACGAACTATTTTTCTTGCTACACTATTTGTTTCAAAGTTAAAAAAACCTGTCTTTTTCCGAAAAAGGTAACTCTAAGCGAAGAACAAACAGAATAGCAACTTCGTTGAGAAACAGGGAAAACGTGATGAAATAGAGAATATTAGTTAAGAAAAAACAACATGACAGACTTTTAACTAATGCAAAGTCAACATTAGTAAACATTCTGGTTCTACCCATGAAGTTTTTTTAACAGCTTCTATTCAATATATTGCAATAAAGTCATGCCACGTTACAAAACGATACAGCATCCATGTTTATCACTATACATACATGTGACGAACAAGACGTTTACCATAGGCTTGAGGATGCTCAGAATGAAAGAACTTGTCGAGTAGTACTCATGTCGTCTTAAACAAAATTGCTCCTCATGTTGACCACGGGTGTGTGGTACATGATACTAAACAATTCGATTTCTCGACATCAAGGTGTCATCAAAAAGCAATATTGCAATTCTTCAGTCTGTATAGATAAAATAGGATAGAAAATGTATCGTGATACTGGTAAATAGTATCGATGCGATATTAATGTGATAAATCTATTTAAAAAACCTCCTAGAAAACACTAACATAGGAAGGAAACAACAACAGGAGAAAAATAATACCTTGATTTGAAAGATTATCATTATCAGAAACGTGCAATGGAATTAATAATTTTGTTTTTGATGTTGTCCTTGAACGTTTTTTCAAATAGGTAAATAAAATTGTTAGATATAATTGTGGAAATAATTTTAGATCAATTTCATCAGAGACAAAATAATTATCTGACCAACGAACACTCACATAACTTTTGTCAAAACATGTTAAGATCCCGAAATTAACATTCTTCACATAAGTTAAGGTTTGACTTATGTGCTTTAAAAATGTTTTTTCAACTGTTTTAATTCCATTCCACTGTTCGACATATTCCACGTTAGCCACGGTATAACAAGGTGGTTTTTCAAGTCGTGTTTGACGAGTGTTACATCGCCCAGGTTGAGCAGCATATTGGAAATTTAATTCTAATTTATCCATACTTTTCGGGGCACTTTTCACCGTTCTAGAAGAATAAAAAACGATTTTGATGTAAAAGCGTGATGATCCCCAATTGTAGATCCTTACTTCATCACTATTTGAGCAAAGTTTTGACGAAATTGCTTTAATTCTTCACGATTTTCTTTACATTTCTCATCATGACATTCACATGCGCCAAGACATTTTGGACGTTTTACTTCCGTTATTAATACTAATTCATTTAAAATAAAAACA